ACATGTGGGTGCTGGGTAGGGTCTTTGACTTTCCTTTGGGTGGGGAAAACCTGGAAGCTTTCAGATTCGGGTTTTCCCAGATGTACCAATATGACATCTCTAATAAAATGGAACTTTGTGGAACTTCAAGCCTCGGAGTTTTCTTTTGTTGGGGGTGTTACCTGACATTAACCCCAATCTGCTTTAAAAAATTCAACCAGCTCCCCCAAACTCTGGGGTGCTGTATGGGGTCCTGAGCCCCGAACGTTGACCTGAAACCGGGCGTTGCCAAGACTCAGGGAAGATGACAACCTGTGGACTTCAACTCCCAGAATCCTCCAGCGAGAACGTATTATGGCAAGGGTAATCCAATCATGGCAATTTTAGGATTTCTAGGACATAAGACAGCCTGGTTAGGATTTTCAGTTGGCTCCTATAAACTGGGGAACACATTACTGTAGGACAGGGATCTCCAAGCTCAGCAACTTTAAGACTTGTGTATCTCAACTCCAGCATTCGCCATACTGGGGAATTCCGCGAGTTGAAGTCTACAGGTCTTAAAGTCACCAAGTTGGCTGCCTCTGGCTTGGACTTTCTTGTGCTCTGCATCTTGACTGCAGAGATGGGACAGGGGTGGACTTCTGAAAATATTATACTCAGGCTCTCCTCACTCTGAATGGACAATTTCTACTGGTTTTATGTCCTATAAATTATAAAATTACCAAGATTGGATACCCTTGTCATAATACGTTCTGGGTGGAGGATTCTGGGAGCTGAAGTCCACAAGTCTTAAGGTTGCCAGGGTTGGACACCCCTGGTTTAAACCCTAAGAGCAACACAACTGTTGCAGGTGCCCATCACACTCAATATCCCAAAGGTGCTTTTTGGACTTTGGTTTTCCTTGAAAACTTTATCGCTTCCCATCTAAGAAACTTCTTCAGTTCAGTTGCCTTTTGAAAAAACACCTTCGGGACAACCATGATCTGGATGACTGAGAATCTCCATAGACATCACACTCAGTGGTTCTCTTTTCTTTGGCTTATCATGTTGTGAGAATCTAACCACCTGGTTTGTCAACATGGTTGATGGCAGAAAAGTAGACATCCTTGTTGGTTCAAGATCCCAGGAGGCCATTCCAAAAAGTACATACAGGTAGTCCTTGACCTACAACCACAATTGGGGCCAGAATTTCCATTGCTAAGGCAGGTGGTTGATAAGTTATGCACAATTATATGGGTTTTTCTTGCTACTGCTGTTCAGTGTGTCACTCCAGTTTTTAAATAAATCACCCGTTGATTAGGTGGATATAGTTTCCTTCCTTAACTTTGCTTGTCAGAAGCCAGCTGAGAATCAGAAATGGCAATCATATGACCCCAGGAAATTGCAACCGTTGTAAATACATATTCGCTGCCAAATGTCCCAATCGTCAGACCTGGAAGCCATCTTTTAAATTTGGGCCTTTAGGCCTGCCACATTTTCTACTGAGGGAAAATGGGAGGGGGGATTCCATAGAGTATGGGTGATATGTAGTGAAAATAACATTCCTTTCTTAGATAATCAAGGACACTTTGTCCTAGCACCTGGAGTTGGATGATTGGGTGGTATCTCCAATTTGGACGGTGGATGATTGGACCATGTGATGGACATGTAGGTCCTGGGCAGGGACTTGAACTTTCACTTAGGTGGGGAAAACCTGGGAACTTTCAGATTCCGGTTTTCCCAGATATGCTAATATGACATCTCTAGTAAAATGGAACTTTCAGGAAACTCAAGCCTTGGAGTCTTTTTTCATTGGGGGTATTACTTGGAACCCTGACATTAACCCGAATTTGATCGCATGACTATGGGGATGCTGCAACAGTCATTAAGGGTGAGGCCATTAGTCACTTTTTTCAGTGGCGTTTTAACTTTGAATGTTTGCTAAATGAACAGTTTAAGTCAAAGGCTACCTGTATGTGGAAAGCCAAGAAGAGAGCAAGAAGAGAAAGTAAAATTTATGTACATTGCATTAAAATGAAACAAATTAAATACACTTGACAGGATGGGGCCATGCGTTTAATAACTGCCCTTGTTTGTCCTCTTAAAAAATCTACCCTGTGTTGGGAACCCTCGAAGGAATTTAGGGCAGATCCAAGTTGGGAACCCCTGCTGGCTTGTAGGTTGTGTGAACCTCATAGTTGTGGTTGACTCAAATAAAAGTAAACAAATGAAAATGAAAGATCAGCTGTTCCTTCCTTTTTTTTTTGTTAATGAATGCCTTTGCTTCCAGACTCTGTCTATGGCCAGCTTCGGTTTTGCAGCTTGGACTCTGACATGCAAACTTTTGGGTCAAGAGGTCTCTCTATCAAGCCAGGTATCCTTCCTGGAACTTTGGCCGTGAAGAAGATAAAGAGAACCAGGCATTAAACATTGAGCCCTGTTGCAGGTGAGGTGATCGATCGACTCGGCAAAAGGTTGTCTTTGAAATTCCACCAGAGGGTGAAAAAAAATCTATAAGTAACTGTATTACAAATTGCAGGGAAAAAACTTTCGGATCAATCCCTAAGGAACTGCATTGTAATTCTTTTTATAAAAGGGCTTGTTCTGTAAAATACCTCTGTAGTATTCCCTGAGAACAAAAACATGGAATTTCTCTGAAATATGGGATTTAGTGGTCCAACATTCTGATAGGAATATTCTCCTGCCTGAAGCAGATACTCTAAAAATCTGAAGTAAGAAGAAAATTCTCAGGAGCTCCCAAAGAGTTGACTTTCTTGTTAAATTGTTGTTACAGTTAAGGAGTATCTCCTTCACAGGTACTTTGCAACATGGATGCCTGTACGGCTATTTGCAGTGTCTCATCGATGCATGCCCAAATTTGAGGACCTTTTCGCTGAAAACCATCACTTACCACCAGGTTTGCTTAATGACCGGCACAAAACAGATCATAAAACCGGGTCAGTCATGTGACTGACCCGGTTTTATGACCATTATGGCATACAGGCACATGGGGCAGGCTCCCTGGTCGTACATGAAGGACTACCCATATCTACATGTAAATGGGGGGACGGGGACATCTGTGTTAAGCATTTTCATAAATCTTTATTTACATAACTTTAAGCCACATTTATGTGTTGTCTTGGAGACGAAACTTCTTTCCACCGAGGCCATCCTTTATACTCTCTCTCTCTCTAGACATTGGTTGGCAACGATGGAATTAGACAATAGGATGCAAGAAATATACTAGATTGGAAACACAGATAGTCCTCGACTTACAGCCACACCTGAGGCCAAAACTCTAAGCTTTTATAAGCACATTTAATTTTTCTGAGAAAGAGGAAATAATTCAAGTTGCAATAATAAAACACTAATTAGGGCTCAGCCAAGAAAGATGGCACATCTGCCTTTTAATGGGCTTCTGGATTATTGCAACCTACATCAGATGAAAGGGTTTAAAGGTAAAGATTTGCTAGTCGTTTCCGGCTCTAGGGGGCAATGCTCATCTCTGTTTCAAAGCCAAAGAGCCAGCACTGTCCAAAGATATCTCTGTCATCATATGGCCGGTATGACTAAACAGGCCAAAGGCACACAGAATGCTGTTACCTCCCCACCAAAGGTGGTCCCTATTTTTCTACTTGCATTTTTTATGTGCTTTCCAACTACTAGGTTGGCAGAAGCTGGGACGAGTAACGGGAGCTCACCCCGTTACGCAGCGCTAGGGATTCGAACCGCTGAACTGCCGACCTTCTGACCGACAAGCTCAGCATCCTAGCCACTGAGCCACCGTGTCCCTAAAAGGGTTTAGGTCCCCATAATTTCTCTAGCAACTTTGCAATTCCATCCAGCCACCCTAAGTCACTTTGATATGAGATGGGCAGCAAATAAATTTAATAAATACATAAAGTGGGCTATTTGTAGATGCAATTTCAAGCAAAAAAAAATATTAAATAAAAATCCTCAACCCAGCTGTGATTGTATTACCATCACATGGTAATGATGTATTACCTTGCAATGACCTAATGCAAGAAAAGAATGATTTTTAAAAATTCTTTATTACTGATGTTGAATGTCAATGGAGATTCTCAGTCATCGAGGCCATAGTTGTCTCAAAGGTGCTTTTTTTCAAGAGGCAACTGGACTTTCTGGTTTTTCTTTGAAGACATTTTGCTTCTCCATCCAAGAAGCTTCTTCAGCTCTGACTGGATGGTGGGGAATGGAAGGATTTATACTCCTTGCAGACAGCTGGTCATTAGCTGGTCGTTAAGGTCACCTGGAGATTTATCTGTGTCATCAGGGTCACCTGAGTAGTGCAAACCAGTGTGGAGCCATCTTGGAACTGTTGAAAGTTCCAAGAAGGAACTTTCAATGCTAAAAGGATGCAAATGACCAGCTGTCTGCAAGGAGTATAAATCCTTCCATTCCCCACCATTCCAGTCAGAGCTGAAGAAGCTTCTTGGATGGAGAAGCGAAACGTCTTCAAAGAAAAAAAACAGAAAGCCTAGTTGCCCCTTGAAAAAGCACCATTGGGTTTACTGATGTTGGTATTTTATTTATATTATATGTATAATTTAATTATAAATGGAATATGAATAACTTTTAATATTCATTAATAATACTCATTATTTAATGCACCGTTGGAAGGATTGGAGGACCTGGTCAGCAACAGAAAATCGATCTATATTTTCTATGCGGTGCTGCAAGGCTCGTAATCCATCAATAATCAATGAAATCAAAGCTCCAGCTGCCTCCTGGACCTGTCCCGTTGCGGGTAGGAGGGCGTAGAACGCCGAACTCCCTCGAAGTCCCCCTGATTGGTTCCTCTAAAAGGGGGCGGGCGTGATTAAAAAAAAAAAAGAAAGGCTTTTTATCCTTCGGCGGCTTCTTGGCTGAGCGCACCGTCTGTCTTCTTATCTCCCGCCTCCGCGTGGCGCGCTTAGCCAACCTGGCGACGAGGGGGGCGGGGCGACTATCCGGCCCCTCCCCCCTCTCACCGATGACGAAAGCGCGGCTGGTGGTGGCGCCGCCGCGGTCTCCGCGCGGCAGTTGTTCTTGGGCGGCGGCGCGGGATGGAGGCGTCCGGGACGGTGCGGACGGGGGACGCTCTCCGGGCGGCGGCGATGGGGTGCTGCGGTCGGTCGCTTCTGTGGCTGCTGCTCTTGTGTCTCGGCAGCCCCGCGGCCACTCTGGCCGGCTACATCGAGGTAAGCGAGGGGCTACAGTGAGGGCGGCGTCGGGACCCCCCCCTCTGCCCGAATGGGCTGCTCGAAGCCTCCCGTCCCGAATGGGAGGGCGCGACCATCACCCGCCGTGAAAGGGGGGGGCAGCGAAAGGTCATTTGAGCTGTGCGTTTCCTCTCCTTGGACGGTCCCATTTGGGGAGGGGGATTTCATATCCTTGCATGGGGTGTGTGTGGGTGATTTGCACGGCTGCCCAGGGACGAGGAGAAACAACCCCCCCCCCAAATATGCTGGCTCTGATAGAGGATCTCTGGATGCCCCGCTGGATGGCAGTGAAACCTGGGTCGTTAATTGGTCCCGTCTTAGGTCCCGGTGCGAGAAGCTTCCCAGGCTCTGCAGAGGCTCGGAGGGTTTTTTTTAAAAAAACTAGGCTTCCCTTTCCATCCATTCCCACCTCCCCACCCCGAAAGCCCTTTTCCCGGCTGCTCTTTCCCGATTCTGCAGCGTATCCCCCCCACCTGCAGTCCCTTTTCCCTTTGCAGCCCTCTCGCTTCCTGGAATGCACAGGACACACAGTCACATTCCGGGGATTGCATAGGTAACCTATATAGGCACGTATCAGAAGGCGAATGAGCTGCAAAACTATACATGTATATCTATATGTGTGTATATATATATATATGTGTGTGTGTGTTCCAGGTATATTAGTAAAACAAGAGGCAGACATATTGCGAACTCTGGAACTTAAGATTTTAAAAATTTTAAAAGAATTAAAATTTTATTTTACTAAGCTTTCGTCATCGTCAGAGTATTAAACTACCATTACAGAGATCTCTTCCTTATATATACCTGCCTACACACACACACACAAAATAGACAATGCACAATATACTCAATAGAAAAACTATATATGTATATATTTATTTTCTTGTCTTTTCGTAGGCCTTTATGTAGATTTTTCTCTCAGCCAGGTTTTTTTCCTACGTAAATCAAGATCTTTTATACAGCCATAGCTCAGTGAAATCCCATTCACTAGTTTCTAGGCTTTTTCAGACATCAAACCAGTATTTTGCTCTCTATTGGGAGACTAAAGACAGCAAAATACTGGTCTGATGTCTGAAAAAGCCTAGAAACTAGTGAATGGGATTTCACTGATAAAATATAAATCAAGTATAAAAATCTTGATTTACATAGGAAAAAAACCGGCTGAGAGAAATATATATATATCTATGTGTATATATATACATATATGTATGTATGTGTATATATATATATATACACTGCTCAAAAAAATAAAGAGAACACAAGCAGAAGACATCCGAGATCTGAATGAATGAAATAGCCTTATTAAATACTTTGTTCGTTACACACAGTAGTTTTGTGTTCCCTTTAGTTGTTTGAGCAGTGTATAAACTACTGTACGTAAAGAACAAAGTATTTAATAAGGCTATTTCATTCATTCAGATCTCGGATGACTTCTGCTTGTGTTCCCTTTATTTTTTTGAGCAATATATATATTGGCCAAGACACTTCCAATTTTACGTGGGAGAAGACCCGAATAACCAAAGACCTACATATATATATATATATGTATGTATGTATGTATGTATGTATGTATGTATATGTATGTGTAAATATATATGTATATATATGTATATATAATGTATACATAGTATCTAGATATATATATATAGAGAGAGATAGAGAGATATAGATATAGATATAGATACATCGATATGGTCAGGCAAGGGAGTTGCATATACATATCGTTTTGCAACCCACTTGCCTCCTGTTTTTATATACATGCACATAATCATTTTAGCCATTGTCTATGCACTGCAGGACGAAGGCCTCTTCTGCATGTTTCCGACCAACATGATTGTGACACATACACATACACACACGCACATAGACATATATAGTGTGTGTATATGTACTTGGGAGTTGCCAATTACAAATCTCTTTGTATGTGTATAGGAGATATATGTACACTTCTCACTTGGTGGCTTCTCCATTTGCCTAAAGCCGTTTCCCAGCTTCAGCTTTGCACCTTTCGGGTGTTTCTCCTTTCCTCCCACTACAAAGGTGGCTTTATGTCCCCCCCTTTTCAGGCAGTTCAAAAGAAGAAGAAGCAAAAGAAAATCTCCCTTTTTGCTCCTTCATCTTCCCATCCTGCTAGTTTTACCAGGCTGTCAGGGATGACAGATAAGTGCGAGGAGGCAGAGGTGGGGGAGCCTCCCGGATGCTGTTGCACACCGATGGGTTCCCTGGTGGGATTTCACAGGGTAGTGGTGACGAAGAAAAATGCAATTCAAATGAATGGGATCCTTGTTGAGATGAATTGTGTCTGTGTTGGATGTCTTGGGGCGGAGTTGAGGGGTGAGGGGAGAAGAGAAGTTACCTGTTTCTTTAACGTTCGTAACGTCCTTTCTAACCCAGTCTGAACAATGCTGCAGCATCCATCCTTCTCCCGAATCTCCTTGGAAAAAAATGTACTTTTCCACTTTCTTGGAGGGCAGAATATTTGCATTTTATTGATCTGCCAGGACTTGGTCCGCACCCCCCACCCCATTTGCTCTCTGCGTTTACACAAATCTCTCTCTCTCTTTTTTTTAAACGAAGCGTTTTATGTTTATTCAAAGTTGTTGTAATGATTTAGTAAAATAACCCCAGCCAAATTCAATTACTGGATTGCACTTAAACTACCGCTGTGGCTGTCCAATAGAGACCTTGTACAGAACAGCAAGCTGGCTCCTGATTTCGGGTTGTTTTTTTTTCCCTCCCCTCTGGCCATTTTATAACCGGGATTTTGCCTGTGTTTGTGAAAGCACTTTAGGGTTCTCCCTCATTACAATATCCCCATGGGTCTGTTTTCTTTTGAGATGTATGGAAAAGGCATGGCATTGTGTGCTTTATAAAGCAAAGGTTGCTGAATGCTGTTTGTTTTGCATAAAGCTTTTTAAATAAGTGGTAGAGAGCTTAATCAGCAATGCTTAAGGTGGTATATGAAGCATTTGCATTTGCTATCGAGAGATTGGTTACAGAGTTAATCGCCTGAGTCTTTTGTTTTTACCTTGTATGTATGTGCGGACATATTTATGAGGACTGACCTCTGCATTCTTGGCACAGGAACAAGAAATCTGGCTTCGGATCAGTCTAGAAGCTTGCGTTAGGAGACTGTTCGCAGGGGAAAGCATCTGTTTCATTAACCTGATGTTATCTGGTGAACGGAGCTTGACTGTTTGCCAGTATCGGCTGCCTATATTTGCAATGGCTTTCAGGTTTCAGATTTATCAGGCAGTATAATTAAGGCATGCCAATAGGGTTACTCCTAACTGAGAGGATGCTTGGCCTCCCTTAAATCTGCCTTAAAGCTTATGGAAGACAATCCTGTCTGGTTAAAATGGCTTTCAGCCCCAAACTGCGTAGGGTTAAAGAAGAAGTAGCAGTCTTAATTCTCAAAATGAAACACCTCTCTTAAAATGGAAGCTCTTGCTATTAACAGTTCTCCAGAGCGTGTAGAAATAACTTTCCAAGGATGTGTCCCTCCTCACACCGTGCAGAGCTCATTCTTCATGCCATGCTCGAAATATTCTCGGGAGGTCCTGCTTAGGATGATCGCCTTACGCAATAGATCTCTGTGGAATCTTTGAATTGAAGATAGGCCCCTCTTCCCGTTTTGTTCTTGGCGATCCTGTGGCACGATTGCACATCCTTATAATTTTAGGACAATGGATTTTTCTTTTCTTTTCTGCAACTTGGCCGGAGAAGGTTTTTGGTTTTCCCCAGCATTTGTTTGCAACACGGTGGTGGCGATTTGGTGGTTGTTTGAAGATCACTCTCAAAAAATTGTCCAGCCAGGTTGATAACGCGGCACGATGAGAACGGGATGCAGGATTCTAGCAAAAGCCCCTATCGGGTTGCTTGGCACGGGTAACGTGCCAGTGGGGAGCTGTCATGCTACTTCCTGATGGGGAAATTAAATCTCTGCACCTGTTAAAACCTTCTAATGGTATGGCATTTCCCCTCTTTGAGCAACGCAAACTCAGCTGTGCATATCCTGTCTGGATGCCGTCTCTCACGATTATGAACTGATGGCATGAACTCTTATTTCCTTCCTGGGTAGCTTTGATTTAGAAAGAAACTAAAGCTGAGATTACTTTCCTCGGATTTAATAAAGGGGTGCTGTCTTTTTCTCCCCATTAGATTCACTGATTTGGCATAAGTGTGTCAGGTAGATTTTTCACTTGGTATTCTCCGCTAAGAAGTCTCTGAGAGCAAGTCGGGCATTAATCTGTTTAATGCTAACACGTCTGTTTCTTCTTCATCCTCTGTCTGAAAGCACATGTATGTGAAGCTTAATCCTGCATAAATATTCATAGTGCACGTTTCTGGTTTTGCTGCTTCGTTCATGAATATTAATAACAATTCCCTCATTTTTTTTTTTTATTAGAAAGTTTCTGTTTCATATGCAATACCCCAGCACGGTTTACGAGGCCTTATTGCATTTATGGTATTTATATCCTGTTTTCTCTGACAGCCTTAGAACAGGATATATATTTTTTCTCCTCTTCACGATTGACTTTTGAAACATTTTTGTAAAATATTGTGGACTTGAGCTGAGTTTTGTGGCCAATTGAGATTCAAATGGGAACTTTTCGTCACACCTGGACCCTTTGATCACCATAAGAAGTTTTTAAAATGTGATAATAGGGAGCTAGGATGCAGTAAAATGAAATATTACTTATATTTAAAAAAAAAAACACTTTGAATTAGACTGCAGTTCTAAATCACCTTGGGCAAAACATCACCTGGATAAAAATAAATAAACATTTGGCCAGCTCTCTAAACCTGTTGAAGGCAATGGATATGGGGTAAAGTCTTCCATGAAATCAAATCAACTCAAACTGAATTTCTTTTAGTTCATTCAGGAAGGGGGCTGTGCCATTTTTTCCAGAGTTTCTGTGCTATAATTCACAGGTACCTGCCAGTTGGCTTTGCTAGCTGTGGGGGCTTATAGGAGA